GACGCTTACATTTTACCAAAAATTTGTGATCCTCTGCCATCAACTCATATTTCTTCTCAACACTGGTCTCACATAAAATCAAATTTACCTCTTGCAGATCCAGAATTTGCCAGTCCTGGTCATATCGACATGTTACTCGGAGCTGATGTTTTTTCCAGTCTTTTCCTGGGAAATAAAATTTCTGGTCATCTTAGTGAACCAGACGCAATTCAAACTATCTTTGTTTATGTACTTATGGGCCCAGTTACTACCCTTCGTGAGTTTCCTATTGGCACCTTTGTCATGACTTCGGACGGGACCCCTTCTTTAGAAGAAACTGTGTGTAAATTTTGGGAACTCGAAAAAGTTCCTCCTGCCACAATCGTTTCACCTGATGACGTACTCTGTGAAAGATTATACTCTGAGTTCCATTATCGTAACGAAGACGGTCGTTGTGCTGTAGCTTTACACTTCAAAAGTCCTAGGCCGATCTTTCCGACATCTAGAGAACTCGCCGTTCAACACTTTCTATGGTTAGAAAAACGTCTTCAACGCAATCCCGAATTATATCAACAGTATTCTGCCTTTATGCAAGAATATCTCGCTTTAAATCACATGGAGCTTGCTGATGTGCCATCCGGGGATTCTTCCGCATTTTTTTATATTCCGCATCATAGTGTACTTAAGCCTGACAGTCTCACCACCAAGTTACGTGTCGTCTTTAATGGCTCAGCATCACTTCCTCATCAATCATCATCGCTGAATGATCATCTTTATGTCGGTCCTAAATTACAACGCGATTTAATTTCTATTCTTTTAACTTTTCGCTTACACAAAGTTGTTTTTGTTGCTGACATCAAAATTATGTATCGCCCTCGAGCATCGCGATTACCAACGTATTATATGGCGATTTTCACCCAACGAACCTCTGGCCGATTTTCGATTACGAACTGTTACATACGGACTCTCTTCCGCTCCATATTTGGCCATTCGTACTTTACTGCAGCTAGCCAACGACGCAGGTGCTTTATTTCCCTCAGCTGCAAGTATTCTTCAAGAAAACACATATGTTGACGATATAGTTACTGGTGCACCATCTTTAGAAGCTGCTCGTGAATTAAAATCACAATTGATATGCCTATTAAAACAAGGTTGTTTCGAACTGCGTAAATGGGCTAGTAATGAGCCAGCTTTACTGGATGATTTGCCTGAATCACACCTTGCCAATCAATCACGATCATTTGAAACCGATCAGGAAACCTCTCTGAAAATTTTGGGATTACAATGGACACCTTCGTCCGATTGCTTTCACTTTCATACACAGCCATTTAATCGTCTTTGTACTAAAAGGTAAATATTATCACATCTGGCCCGCATCTTTGACCCTTTAGGGATGTTAAGTCCAGTTACCTTTATCCTCAAGCATTTAATACAACAATTCTGGATTCTCAAACTGGATTGGGATGACACTCCTCCAAATGAAATCATTCGACTATGGGAATCCTTTATAAATGATCTCCCCTGTTTTCAAGACTTGCGAATACCTCGTCGTATCATGCCTGGTACCTTTTTGTCGTGTCAATTACATGGTTTTGGAGACAGTTCGGAAAAGGGATATTGCGCGGTCGTTTACTTTGCATTTATTCTTCCTTCTGGAGAGATCACTACCTCCTTTGTTTGCGCTAAGTGCAAAGTAGCCCCTTTAAAACGATTGTCCATACCACGCTTGGAGCTCTCTGCTGCGGTTTTGTTAACTCGTCTGATCAATTATATTTGTCGTATCTATCAAGATCTTTTAACATTTAGTCGCATATGTGCATGGTCAGATTTGCAGGTGGTCTTGTCGTGGATTAACTCTCCTCCACATCGTTGGAAAACCTTTGTGAGTAATCGAGTGTTTTTCATTCAAGAACCGCTTCTATCCTGTCACTGGTTATATTTACCTTCCTTAGATAATCCAGCTGATATTGGTACTCGTGGATTACTACCCTCTAAACTATTGCAAAGTTCGCTTTGGTGGGCGGGACCAGCTTTCCTCCGATCTACTACAAGCTTCCCTGATTCGGTTATAGAACCTTCTCCCCTAGCTTTGGAAGAAGAACGCAAGGTCGTTTTAATGACAACCACCGACTCTCATTTTATTGATACCCTTATTGATAAATTTTCGTCCTTCAATAAAGTAATACGATGTGTAGCTTTCGAACGCCGTTTTTTCTATAATCTAAGACGTCAAGAAAGAGAAACCGGACTGACTTTGAAATCTTCTGAACTTCATTCTGCCGTTCTGGATATTGTTCGTCACGTTCAATCCACTCAGTTCTCAGCTGAATTGTCAGCTATGAGAAGTAATAAACGTCTTCCAAAACCATTTCAAAAATTGTCGCCCTTTATCGATAACAATAATATCCTACGCGTTGGTGGTCGTCTCAAAAATTCCCCACTCTCTTTTGAGGAAAATCACCCAGCTATCTTAACTTCAAATCACCGGTTTACTGATCTAATCTCGCATATCCATAATAAATATTATCATGCCGGAAATCAAACCGTTCATTTTTTATTATTGCATCAATTTTGGATTTTAGCCCCTAAATGTGCCATTCGGCGAGTATTGTCTAAATGTATTCGATGTTTTCGAGCTAGTCCAGTTCCAGTTCAGCCTCCTATGGGTAATTTACCTCCCTCCAGGTTAATTCAGGCGAAGCCTTTCTTACACATCGATGTAGATTTTGCAGCCCCTTTTACCATAACCATGTCAAAAGGTCGTGGAGCCAAAAAATTGAAAGCATATCTATGTATTTTCGTATGTCATGTCACAAAGGCGTTACATCTCGAGCTCGCGTCTGACTTATCTACTGAGATTTTTTTAGCAGCTCTTCGTCGATTTCTTGCTAGACGCGGTCGATGTCAACATTTATATTCCGACTGTGGAACCAACTTTGTTGGTGGTAGTAATCCACTTCAACATTTAATGCATACCGCTGCAAATGAAGAAACCGTTTCTTGGCATTTCAATTCTCCTTCCAGTCCTCACTTTGGACGTTTGTTCGAAGTGGGAGTGAAGTCTGTCCAAACGCATCTCATGCGCGTAGTCGGCGACCATTTGTTAACATATGAAGAATTAATGACGTTATTGGTGCAGATTGAATCCATGCTTAATTCCCGTCCTCTAACTCCTGTCAGTCATGACCCTAACGATCTGTCAGCTCTATCACCTAGTCATTTCTTAACCTTTGAGCCATTGGTTGCTCTACCGGAACCAAATTTAAGAGATCTTCCTCTTAATCGTCTTAAATTTCAGATTTCAGCTTATTCAAAGGATGTTTCAAGACCTCTGGTCCCGATGGTCTAATGAATATCTTCATACCTTGCATCAGCGATCCAAGTGGTTTAACCCTTCTGTACCGATTAACATATGCACTTTAGTAGTTATAAAAAATGAAGTAATGTCTCCCCTGCATTGGCGACTTGGTCATATAACCGAAGTACATCCTGGGAATGATGGAATTATTCGAGTCGTTACTATTAAGACCAAAGCAGGATTTGTCAGACGTCCCGTTGTGAAGATTTGTCCTCTTCCAATAGAAACGTAATTTTCCCGAAAAATCCATGCGATTTTTGGTGGGCGGTAATGTTCCGTCTCCGCATTAATTTTTATTTTTTTTCTTAATTTTAAATTATTAGTATAATTTCTAATTGTTTAATTTATTAGAATGGAGGTAGCATTGTAAAGTTATGATTTTTCCTTTTTATATCATGCCAAGGTTTCAATCCTTAATACTCTTTAAGTTTTATATTTATTAAATTCGCGAAATTTGTTCCTAACAAAACAGCTTTTTGAATTTTGACAATTATTATTATTGAACCATTCAAATGCAAAGACTTTAAATTCTCAACTAAGCTATTTGAGACTACACCTACATTAGAGATAACTAAGGGTAGAATTGAAGTTTTTTTAAGATTCAACATGGATTTCATTTCTATCGATAATTGTAGATATTTTGAAATCTTGGTGTGGTATGTTTGAATAATATTGTTTGTGTTAGGAATAGCAATGTCAATGAGAATGGCTTCGTTCGTGTGTTTTTTGATAAGTATGATGTCTTGTCTGTTAGCCACAATGTTTAAGTCTGTAAGTATTGTGCGATCCCATTATAATTGGTATTTGTTATTTTCAAGGAACGTAGATGGGATGTAATTGTAATAGGGTGTCGGGGTGTCGTATTTTCGATTAGGTTCATAAGTGTTGCTAATTCTTTGTGAATGATTTTGGCGGCGTTGTCGTGCCTAGCTTTGTAGTCAGTTTGTGCTAGGATGCTGCAGGAAGAGATTATGTGCTGGATCGTTTCAGGTTTTGCTTTCCAGAGGCGACAGCACTCGTTTCTTATATTCGGATCTTTGATGATGTATTTTCTGTAATTCTTGGTATTGATTACTTGCTCTTGAATATCAAACACAAATCCTTCTGTTTCGGCATACAAACTTGATTTTTTTAACCAAATCAATGACATCTTCTTGTTGACATGATTTTTTTTTCTAAGCCTTTGTAAAATTTTCCATGTAGTTGTTTTTGTTTTAGCCTACTTATTATTTTGTCTATTGTGTGGGGGGTGTGGATTTTTTCGGTGTTCGACAGATTTAAGGGTGTGTGGTTCAAATCAGCTATTGTGATGATGCGAAACATTTCATTTCTTTCTGCTCGTTTCAAGAAATATTATTATTATTACTATTATTATTATTATTAACACATTTGTTAGGCTTGGTCATGTCAAAATTGACAACTGTAAACTGAGGTACTAGCATTTTTTCCAATAATTCAGAATTGCTAACGAAAAAATTTGCCTCAAACATTAACTATTGATATCGACTGAATTCAAATACACATTATCGATTCATCAAAACCTCCAAATGCATTATTTATCTCATTTTGCTTTATAAAATACTTAGTTGGTATGTTCAACTCGTAATATGTCGCATAAATTTAAAAACCAAAGTAAATATCATATTTTGGTAAACAAACTCACCTCTCTCGAGAAATCTTGATTTACTTTTCCATCCGTTTCTTTACGAATCCGCTTGGATTGATGTGTATTTTCTTTGGTACTCTCTTTAATTTGCTGATTATTCCGAATTGCGAAAACTTGATTGTTTGGAATATCTTCTGTTTGTATTGGATCTGCGGGCTAACAAAATATTTAATTAATGACATTTATTTATTTAGTTATTTATTTATTTATGTAATTATTTATTTATTTACTTATTTATTTAGTATAAGATTCAACAAAGTATTCACGGACAACATTTTATGAGAGATGTTTATTCTTCCAAATTTGTAATGTAAAAAATAAGTAAATGTAAGAAAGAAATATTGTGTGTAAAAAAATTGGAAAAAAGTTAGGTATTTATTTTTTTAAAGTTGTAATACACTAATAATAATACTACATAAACATTTGTTCTTTGCTGGCCCAAAGTTACAATACCTTTTTTGAGGAACATACGTTCCCTTCACATTGCGAAGTATTTATCTTTTCTAATTGTTTTCTTAGTCTTCTATGTTCTTTTTTCTGTTTTAAATTTTCTTCTAATTTTCTAATTTCTTCTTCTTCGGAACTCAAGTCCATGATGACGTTGAATGTGTTTTCTGAAAAAAAAATCAAAATTATGACTACCAATTAAAAAAATACACCCCTCGCTGTCAGAACACTCATACTAGTGTATGTGTTAGTTTTCGACAATAAAACCGAAGGCTGGAGATTATTATATATATTAGCGAACTATTTTTCGAGAGGGGTAAAGGACAAAAATTCGCTACTATAACAGTTAAAACAATAGTGTTAAGTTTAAAAAAAAAATCTTTTATGGCTATCTACTATCAAATTCAAATTTAAAATTTAAAATATTCCAGCAATTACTGCCAAACATTTAATGTAATTTTGAAAAGCACTCGACGTCGCTAAACGCCTCGATAAATGCATGATTAACTTTAATCTCAGTTAAAATATTCCATAAACTGCTTAATAAATTATTATTAACTGATTCTTAATTAAAAATCTGTCAGTCATTTCTGATATATATCTACTTAATTCACAAACCTTATTTAAAAAATACCAAAAGTAAAGTAAATTTATTGTTTTCTTAAAATGGACTATCGTAGGCGTTGAATTGAACTTTCTAGCTTTCTACCATTTCTGGTTGTCTGAAAGAAAATTGTAATAATTATACCTAATTTTGATGCTTTTGTTTTAATAATAGTATTTATTGATTTCAACAGCAACAATCGAGAAATAAACAGTCAGCTAAAAATTTTTACCTCAAATAACTTTTACATTTGTTAGCCAAAAGTAATAATATTAAATTTTCAAATGGAGAATCATAGGCCGCGCGTATATGTAAATTCAATGGTTTAAAAAAGTAATGAAAAAAATATATTACACAAATACCATTTTACTTGCTGCCCGAGAACTTGTTTGACCTACAGACCACAGCGCGTTCAGGCAAGTGTCGACTCTATAAGCGTTTATAAGCGATTTGGTTGATTTGGACTATAATTTCTGCGGGAAATAGTTATTTACAAATATAATATCACATGTTACATATTTCACTCGATTTTTAATTGTCTTTTATACTAGCAATACATCTTAAACTAACAATATTGTTGAAATCGTAATAATTCAATTGATTTTTTTCGGGAAAACTCAAAAATTGAGAAATCGAAACTCGAAAATTTAAAAAATCGAAAAATCGAAAAATCGAACAATTGAAAAATCGAAACATCAAAACATTGGAAAATCGAAAAACCGAAAAGTGAAAAATCGGAAAACCGAGAAATCGAAAAATCAAAAGATCGAGAAATCGAGAAGTCGAAAAGTCAAAAAATTGAGATACCGAAATAGGCCAGAATCGAAATAACGAAAAGTTAAAAGATGAAAAATTGGAGAATCAAAAATCTAAAAGCGAAAAAATAAAAAAAAACGATAAAACGGAAAAGCAGAAAAACTGAGGAACCGAAACAACCCGAAATAAAAAATCGAAAAAGTATAAATTGAAAAACTGATAAATCGAGAAAATGAACAATCAAAATATCGAAACATCCAAACATCGATAAATTGGGAATTCAAAACCTTGAAAAATCGAAAAACTTTAAAAATGAAAAATTAAAAAATCGAAATTTTGAAAGAAACAAAAAACTGAAAAACAGAAAATCTAAAACCGGAAAGTCGAAAAATCAAAAGACTAAGAAATCGAAACATTTGAAAAATTCGAAAACTTGAAAAATTTAAATATCGAAGAACTGAGAATCTAAAAAATTGAATAAATGAGAAATCGAAAAATCAAAAAAGTGAAATCAAAAAATCAAAACCTTAAAGAAAATCGAAAAATTGAAGAATTGAAGAAGTGGAAAATCGAACCACTCGAAACTCAAGAAATGGAGAAATCAAAACATCGATTAATTGAAAAATCGAAACATGAGAGTTTATAAACGTCAAAAATTGAAAAAACGCCAAAACTAAAATTTTGAAAAATTTTGAATACGAACGTTGAAAAAGCAAGAAATTGAAAAACCGAAAAATCGAAAAATCTCAATGTCGAGGATCAAAATTCAACATGGATTCTTAAACCACAAGTTCGAGAGTACGTTACTTTTTAACGTTTAAAGTTGTTGTCAAGTTATTTTATTTTATTATAAGATGCATGACCATAACTAAATAATTGTTCTTATATACTTATAGATGAATTCGTTTCTGAACGCTTAGAGTCGACATTAGCCTGAGTGCGCTGTGGTTTGTTGATCAAACAAGTTCTCAGGCGACGAATTGTAATATTTCCGGTACCATAAACAAAGATAATACAACTCGAGTTTTGGGTAAAAGTGTCGGGGGAATTCCGTCAGCGAAATGCCAACATAACCCAAATTTGTTTTTCTGCGTAAAACATCATAAAACAAATTTTACTGCACGTTCTTCAACATGAAAAATACTGACACGCACAAAACAAATCTTACTAAAGATACCAGGCAAAGTTTAATTTGTTCGTTTTACACCGAAGACCAGAAGAAAAATTTTTACTATTAGGAAGTGCATTTTTTGCGGCAAATATATCATTAAAGACTCTTAAAAACAAAACATTTCTCTTTTTTGTAGGTGATTAACAGAGTTAGAACAGTCATTGGGGTTCACGACATTTGGAGAGCAGAGGCAGCTGGTACACCACATTTAATGGAATCGAAAATATAAAAAAAAAAACAATAATGCAACAGTGACATATTTTATCAATGAGTCGTTAGATAATCTTTTTAATTAAGTATTAAAAAAATCGTTTTTCTAAGATCGATTTAAATTAACTTCGACTTGCATTAGCGTTCAAATTGCATGTTAAGTAGTAACGTCAATAAGTTGCATTAATTTTGTTCCACAACTAGAGCAAATTTTTGGTAAGTAATCTAGTGTAAGCCAAATTTAAATTTGATATGTCATTCAGTTTCCGGAATGATAATGTTAATTCAAATATAATAATATAAATATTACTGCGAACTTTTTGACAATATAAAAAAAAGTTCGTTTATGGCTATTCATAATTTTACTGTGCCTAATTGTAAATTAAATGAAACTTTTTAGGTTATTATGAAATCTTAAAAACAAGCATAACTAGATTAGAGACCGTCAGTCTGTGGATATAGTATAAACGATTCGAAGATTCCTCGGGGAGAGCATTTAAGAAGCTGCAAGATACTTTACAAAAATTGGTCTAAAGAGTTTAGACAGTACTTCCCTCGCTGTCGGAAACGTGACGACTGTATGCCTATTATGTTTTTTTTTTCGCAGTGGATTTCAAAGAATTCGGTTTTGTAGTTCCTGAGTAAATCAATAAAATAAATTTACGCATTCATTAATTTTTTTGAGTCACCCTGTACATTCAGATCCAAAAAATATGAATGGAGTGATAGATCACAAGTACAGACTCATCATATTTTGTACATTTTAGATACGATTTATTCGGCAAACTTTTGAGTTGACGTCATCAAGTTTTTGGAGGGGATAAGCAAATATATTGTGACTAAACATTTTTTATGCTCTTTATAACCTTAAAACATCTGCAAGATGTCAGAGCATTCCGTTTTGTAGTTCCTGATTAAATCAATAAAATATATTTACGCATTCATTAATTTTTTTGAGTCACTCTGTATATGCAAATCCAAAAAATATGAATGGAGTGATAGATCACAAGTACAGGCTCATCATATTTTGTACATTTTAGATATGATTTATTCGGCAAACTTTCGAGCTGACGTCATCAAGTTTTTGGAGGGGATAAGCAAATATTTTTTGACTAAATATTTATGATGCTTTTTATAGCCTTAAAACATCTGCAACATTTCAAAGCATTCTGGTTAGCAGATTAAAAATTAAATTTCAAAATGTTGTTTTATAATTTTGATTTTTTTTCCAAAAATCTGGACGTTTCGGGTGAAAAGTCGATTCAGAGTTGTAAACAACATGTGTAGGACTATGTTATTTTATACAATTGAAAACCCATTTACTATGTACAATTTTGAAGTGACGTCATCGCATTAGTGGTGGGGATGATTAGACAAATTTTGGTTAGCGTTTTACCATCTACATGATATTCTTAATATAAGTACAAAATTTCACAACAATCGGTCGAGTACTTTCGGAGATTATCTGTCTAATAAAATCCGGGACAACAGACGGACAGACGGACGGACAGACGGACGGACAGACGGACGGACAGACGGACAGACAGACGGACGGACAGACAGACGGAAATGGGAGACCTATTTCTTCGTCTTCTAGGGGTCATGAAAGATCGAGAAAACGTAAAAGTAGAGAGTCGGCCGACGGACTCGATTACAATACTTCCTTTGCTTACGCTCGGGAAGTAAAAAACTACAAAGAGCTTCAATTTGTGAGCACATTTTTACAAAGCGAAAATGTAGAAAAAGTTTTAAAAATAAAATCCACTGAAATTTCTAATTTTAGATATTCTCATTTAACATCGTGCGATGTTGAGAGATCTTTCTCTAGACAAAAAAATGTTTTAACAGACAAGAGGAAAAATTTTTCTGCAGAAGATTTTTAAAATTATCTAATTTTTTATGCAAATTTAAAGATTTAAAATTAGAATCGCTGATTATGTGAAATAAAATAAATACAGGGTTAGTATAAAGTCCCGGAACGGTCGAATAACTTCGTTATTTTTTTTCTGAAATTTGCTTTGGATATATAGTTGAACATGGCGACTTGATTACAATATTTGTTTAACATCAAAAATACCCAATATATTTTATTGGGTATTTTTACTTCCCGAGCGTAAGCAAAGGAAGTATTGTAATCGAGTCCGTCGGCCGACTCTCTACTTTTACATTTTCTCGATCTTTCATGACCCCTAGAAGACGAAGAAATAGGTCTCCCATTTCCGTCTGTCTGTCCGTCTGTCCGTCTGTCCGTCTGTCCGTCCGTCTGTCCGTCTGTCCGTCCGTCTGTCCGTCCGTCTGTCCGTCTGTTGTCCCGGATTTTTATTAGACAGATAATCTCCGAAAGTACTCGACCGATTGTTGTGAAATTTTGTACTTATATTAAGAATATCATGTAGATGGTAAAACGCTAACCAAAATTTGTCTAA